AAAAAGTTGCCGAAGCTACGTGCCACTGGGAAATTTACAGAGACAACAGGCCAATGATTAATAACCACACGTATGAATGTATGTAAGTACATCCATAAGGTTTTGTCTAGTGCAGGCGGATCGAAGTAACCAAAACAAGAAAGAATAAAGGATTTGCACCTGCTCTGGTGTGCAGGGTAGAAATCACAGATCGGTAGGCGGGACAAGGTCGCGAGTGGCGCGGTGGAATGAATGGGAGACGGGGAGAACTGCATACGCGCTTTGTGGCTATTGCGGCTCTCGTGAGGAATTTATATGAGGGGGAGGGGACCATAATACATCACCAACGGGTTTCTGACAACAATGAGATGGAAAATTGGCCTTGCAGACCACTCGAAAGGCAGCGGGACCTCTGGACTACGAAGCTGGGTGTTCTAGACGTTCAAATTCGGCCATGGCGTCATTGAGTTCGATGAGGATGAGACGTGCCATATTCTCATGGGGAGTGTTCATCCACTAAACGTTAAAAGAGTTGTTAGTTGTTTTGAAAAAGAAGCAAAAACTGCGCGCATCCTATGGATACGGGAGTCCGCCGCCGCCGCGGTGAGTGCATTGCAGTTAAAGCCAGCAACTTTGTAAAACGGCGAACAAACTATGGTAAATACTGTTGCCTCCCTTACTTAGTTGTGACTAAAACAAAGTCGCCAGTTAGTGACTCTGTTCAGATTAAATCAGCCAGTGCGTGGGTTGCAGCAGCACATCTGGCGATGTTTATTAGTATGCATGGACTCTAAGGAGGGAAGAAACAAAAAGTCCACCGAAGTTTTGGCAAGCACTGCAATAAACTAACAATTCTGCCGAAGCCATGGAGCCCAATATAAGAAGCTCGGGTGTTGCTCATGGGTCAAAACATTTTGGCAGAACATTAACCAGAAGGTGGTTCATAAGTAATATAAAGGCTTTCTCACAGTGCGAAGAAGATAGGTGACTGACTAAATGAAAAGGTGCGCGTCCCAGCTATTTGCATAGACAAGGAAGAAGACGTGTCGAGCATCGGATCAATTGCTTTATTGTCCTGAGCTTTCGAACTCTTACAGGAGTCTATCTTCAGAGGTGAGAAGTGGCAACCAAAAGGGGGGTAATTATAGTGGCCTTAGGCCAATCAACTGTCAGGAGTCATCAAGTTGTCCAGGTGTT